ATTATTCTGGCCTGCTATAAGAGGTGGTTTTGAAAACCTCAATTTTGGGCGTTTTTTTTTTTTGTTTTTTTTTTCACTAAACACGCAATTTTACGGTCCTTTGGGAGAAAATTTTAAGGAGAAGGCTCTATCTCAGCCGGTTTTCGAGCTACGAATTATTTTTGGAAGGGAAAAGGTTGCTTATTTACAGCAATATAAAAACAATTCATATAATGCAAACCTGCAGAGATAGAGCCTTCTCCTTAAAATTTTCGTCCAAAGAAGCGTAAAATTGCGTGTTTAGTCAAAAAAAAAAAAATACGTCCAAAATTGAGGTTTTCAAAACCCCCTCTTATGGCAGGCCAGAATAATGGGCAAGGTAGGGTTATGAAAACGTTAAAGGAAAAAACTTAAAAAATGTTTCCAGGAGTTTTTATCCAAAATGGCGCCTGGAAAACACTATTCCAACCCAAGAATCGAAAATAAGCGATATACGACTTACCCTAACGGACACACGGACAGACAGGCGGACAGACACTGGGGCGATGGCATACGCTTCCTTATATGCCTTTTATGAGGGAAAAGAGCGGGCAAATAAAGGGCCACACGGGCGGTGGGACGTACAACTTAATTGCATGTGTTGCTGACAATGAGTGATAGTGCCGGTATATATTTTGTTACCACATGAATTCTTTTGATATGTCTTGTTTCCAGTTGAAGACGAAATTAGTAGCAAAGTACTACGGCATCAAAAACTGTAAGGACAAAGAGAGCCTGTATCGCCTTTTAAACGTTTCCTATGAACTGCATGACGACGGGGGGACCCTGGTCGATGCCACTTTGGATTTCTCAGCACCCGTCTCAAGTTTTAAAACGGTAACGTTTTCTTTAAACTGTTAATAGAACTAGATAAAACTAGCTATATGTACGCCAGCCCACGTCTCACGTTACAGGCTTCGCGATATCTCACGAAACACTTACGCCGCGACGCGCACATATAGCTAGGCCAGCGGCGCTGACACCCGAGTCAAGTTAACAGAAGTGTATACGGAAATAGGGCCCTTCGGCCCCCAAATATCCCATGCTACCAGCATTTGTGGGGGACTTATTACTCTAAAATTACAGAAATGAAACTTCTGCTATTCAATAAAGATATTCAGTAAAAGTTCCGATTTTGACATATTGATATAAAATCAACGTTGTAGCGCGTTTTAGCCGTAGTGGATAATCTAGGGCATCTAGACCCTAAAAGATGGTGTAGTTTAGCGCGAAATGAGTGGTTAAAGGACTAATCCTTTTTCAATTTTTCGATATGAAGCCTTTTTTACGATTTAGAAGACCATTCGGTCATTTGCACCATATTTTCGTTAAGAAATGATCTCTATCACCCAAACGGTACAAGATAGATCAAAACGGACAACATTTTCGCCCAAATGCCAAAAATGGCTCTACTTTTACGAGTTATCCCTCAGAAACCCCCCAAAAAATTCTTCGATGAAAAATACATTTTGCGACCTGTGTTTTTTTTATTTTTTTTAAAAGTTAATTTTTGAGCTAGAACGCTCATCTTCGAACTCGATCTGTCTTTTTATAATACAAAACGACCCTGAAATTCCTAGATTGCTATCATGATTCCTTCTCGAGTTATCGTGCATACAACTTTTACGGTAAGTGGAGTAATGGGCTTCGCTAATCACTCAGCCAAACAAGTAGGCCCGACCTTCTGTCTAATGGATCTGCCAGTTTCAATTTGGTACGCTGGTAATACCGTTCGGCAGGGGCCTGGCCTTCTTAGCCTGCCAGTGACGTTAGGTTAAGTGTGCGTGCAACCCGATCTATACGTCAAAGCCACACAACATAGGTATACATGTCCAAAAACTGTTCGGCTAGTGGATTTCGAAGAAAGTTATTTTGTAATTCCTTTGCCTACTACCACACTGTCGGATACATTAGCCCATCCCACCCCAAAAAAGTTTTCGAGGTACGGAGCCTAAATGGTAGTTTTGACCTAAAAATGACCGTGTGCAAAGTCCGGGCCCTGTGCGACAACGTTTACCCGGATCGCATTGCGATTATTGTTTTGGCCCAAAGTTGGCGCCAAACAGGTAGACCATCTTGTAGGCGCTGCACTGCGCTCAAGGTGGGGCCAGGGCGAACGACTCGGGCTGAAAGTGTTACCCCATAGGTCCTACTTTGTATCAGATATAGAGGATCCGAGCTCCCGACACACGCGGCATATCCAGGGGCCTAAACGTGCGCCCAACGTCACTCGCCATTTACAGAAAATAATGCCGACGTAGCCCTAACTTTGTATTACATGAAAACCGAGGGCACACTGAGACCTTTCAGAATCAGTAATGTCTGCGGGGTAGCGGTGACGCGTTCAATAGAAAAGGCAAAAAAAGGCCAAAACGCCTGTGTACTAGGCTACTTTGCACTACAGGCGTGTAGTGCGGGCAGGCTAAGTGACGTCACCACAGGCGCAAATACATGTTTTTCAAACTTTCTCTCGTGAAAGCGTCACCGCTACCCCGCAGACATTACTGATTCTGAAAGGTCTAAGTTTGCCCTCGGTTTTCATGTAATACAAAGTTAGGGCTAGGTCGGCATTATTTTCTGTAAATGGCGAGTGACGTCGGACGCACATTTAGGCCCCTGGACACGCCGCGTGTGTCCGAAGCTCGGATCTTTCATATCTGATACAAAGTAGGACCCATAGGGTAACACTTTCAACCCGAGTCGTTCGCTCTGGCCCTACCGTGCGCGTAGGGCAGCGCCTACAAGATGGCGTGCCTGTTTGGCGCCAAGGTTGGGCCAAAACGAAAATCGCAATGCGATCCGGGTAAACGTTGTCGCACAGGCCCTGCACTTTGCACACTGTCTCTCATAAGTGAAATCTACCATTTAGGGTCCGTACCTCCTAAATCCGTGATTTCGACCCATGAAGTGGGATGGGCTAGGATACATATGGACGGAAAGGGCTCGCCGTTGTTTTGTTTATCTTTTTCTTTAATTTAGCCCTAATTTTATTCAAATTGTCTACTTCCACTTGAGTTACTGTGTTGAATTACGTGTAGAGTTACATTTTCGCAAAAGGTGGGGTGGAGGGGAGAGGAAGCGGAGGGGTTTGAGAGATGGTATTAGGATTGCCTCCACTTAAAACCTTTGAGTGAGGTGCCATGCTTGAAATGAGTGAGACAATTTTGCCTTGCTCAATCGGGGCAATGACTATAAGCAGAGGTATGCAACGGCCGAATAAGCGGCTGAGGCGATGCTCAGTCCGGCCCCGCGGGACCCCGCCCCTCTGCTTTGCTCCGCGGAGCGACGCCGGCAACTCCGTTCGGCAGGGGCCGGGCCTGCCCGGCTTGCCGGCGGCGACGGTCGGGCCTCCGGCCCGACCATTTCTGTCGCGCGATTTGCCACAGAACATGATCAAATAATGTAGCGGGCCTTCCGCCCGCTTAAACCCGTCGTCTTTGAGTCTGCCCCCCCGTAGACACGAGAAAGGGATGTAACGGTGAAGTACCGCGACTACAACCCACCCTTCTGCTAAGAAAACGTTTTAGGGGGGTGGGGGGAGAGTTTCTTTCCTATTTTGCGGTTTTTAGGCCTTTTTCTACAACTTATTGTTCACTATGGCAATTTTTAGCTTATTTTCGTCAGAAACACTTCGTGTAAACTGCGAAACGAACCCTTGAATAGGAAATGTAAATTACGCATCCGAATGTGAAAGTATATACATTGTAGTTTGGAAAATTCAAATGGCAATTCGTGTGGAAATGTTAGTCGTCTATTGGTCTTTTTTCTAGTGTAGTGCATAGAAGAGTTAGAGTTATCCTATCGTCAGTTGTTCAGTTGTACGTGTTGTACAGTGTTGTGAACTGGCTTATTCTGTCAGCCCATATTGGGTCATGACCCCTGACGCACTAAATGGTATGCAAACCCGCAACACTGCACATAGGGGTGTTAAAACTAGGTACCAGTGGGTCAGACTTAAGGCGGACAATACCCATTGAACCGTAGAATTAAGCCTGTAAATTCGAAGGTGCAATGGGTATTTCCTACCTTAAACTATGTTGTTGATATGGTCGCATGCATGTGAGCACCGCAGAAAGTTCGGTTGACCACCAGAAAGCTTGGTGACTGTAACATTCTAGAAATTTACTTCATTTCGCTCCGTTTTGGGTACAGTCAACAAAAGGGCGGCGGGCGGGGCCTTGAGCACGGTGTCGATTGTTGGCGGTACTGAGGTAATGTGGAATTGCCGGAATTGCACTCCAACAGGTGGTCGCGGCGACATCACGCTCTGGGCCCCCACGCGCGGCGCGTGTGGTAGAAACGGGTTTGTTTAAAAAGACCCTCTAGCGCCTAAACGGTTAGAGATAGAGCAAAACGGACGAAATTTTCGTCTAAAAACTGTAACGGAACAACACCGTGACTACACCCCACCCTTCTGCTTTGCTTAAGAATGAAAAAAAAAGAACACGCGCGGATTGTATATTACTGTTTGTCAAACAGTCTTTCAACTTGACTTTTTGCAATTGTTTTCAATATATCTACCTCTAGCTCCTAAACGGGTGGTTTAAACGGTTAAAGATACGGCGAATCGGAGGGTTTTACCTGACTCAGAATGTGCTGGTTTTTAGCCCGCCCTTCTGCTTTTAAAAAAGCATTAAAGCGGGCTTATGCAACCGCTCTCGTGTCTGTCCGTCTGTCGTCCGTGTAAGAGGAAGGAGATGAGCTAGAGGTCTACAAATTTCAGGGTATCTTAGGGGTCACTCCTGGACAACGAAACGCCTGGTGCAAATCCTGGCAACCACCCC